CAGTGGCACGATCTCAGCTCACTGCAACCTCCGCCTCCCAGGTTCAAGTGATTCTCCTGCCTCAGCCTCCCGAGTAGCTGGGATTACACAGGCACATGCCACCACACCTAGCTAATTATTTTTTGTATTTTTAGTAGAGACAGGGTTTCACCATGTTGGCCAGGATGGTCTTGATCCTCAAGCTCATGATCCGCCCACCTCAGTCTCCCAAAGTGCTAGGATTACAGGCGCGAGCCACAGTGCCCAGCTAAATGGGCACTTACTAAGTGCCAGGTCCTACCCTGATCCTCACCATCACTTTAAGAGGTGGGAACTGCTGTTATCCTCATTTTACAAATGCAGAAATTGAGGCTTAGGGAGTTAGGTAACTAGCCTGAGGTCACATGGAGTAGAGTCTGGATTAATTTCCCTGACAAAAGGACAAGGGCAAACAGAAAAATGAAATTAAAGCCAAGAACCAGGTTATCAATACTGTTCCAGGTATTAATAACATTGGGTTTTGGCCATAATGCTTATGCTTTTTCCCCCTACCCCCCAACACCATGGTGAGTGAGACTGCCTAGACTAAAATCCTGATAGGCCAGGTGTGGTGGCTTATGCTTGTAATCTTGGCACTTTGGGAGGCCGAGGTGGGAGGATCACCTCAAGTCAGGAGTTCAAGACCAGCCTGGCCAACATGGCAAAACCACGCCTCTACTAAAAAATACAAAACTTAAGACGGGCATGGTGACAGGCACCTGTAATGTCAGCTACTCAGGCAGGGATAATTGCTTAAACCCAGGAGGCAGAGGTTGCAGTAAGCCGAGATTGTGCCACTGCACTCCAGTCTGGGAGACAGAGTGAGACTCTGTCTCAAACAAAAAACAACAACAACAAAAAAAAACCCTAGTGACATTTTTATTTTATTTTATTTGAGATACAGTCTCACTCTGTCCCCCAGGGTGGAGTGCAGTGGCACAATCTCGGCTCACTGAAACCTCTACCTCCCAGGTTCAAGCGATCCTTCTGCCTCAGCCTCCCGAGTAACTGGGACTATAGGCGCACGCCACCATGGACTGGCTAATTTTTTAGTAGAGACAGGGTTTCACCATATTGGCCAGGCTGGTCTCGAACTCCTGACCTCGTGACCCGCCCGCCTCAGCCTCCCAAAGTGCTGGGATTACAGGTGTGAGCCACCACATGTGGTCATGACATTAATTTTTAAAGCCATAACACAGCCAGGTGCAGTGGCTCACACTTGTAATCTCAGCACTTTGGGAGGCTGAGGCGGGTAGGTCACGAGGTCAGGAGCTCAAGGCCAGCCTGGTCAAGATGGTGAAACCCCGTCTCTACTAAAAAAATACAAAAATTAGCCGGCATGGTGGCGGGCGCCTGTAGTCCCAGCTACTCGGGAGGCTGAGGCAGAGAATCGCTGGAACGCAGGAGGCAGAGCTTGCAGTGAGCCGACATCACGCCACTGCCCTCCAGCCTGGGCAACAGAGCGAGACTCTGTCTCAAAACAAAAAACAAAAAAGTCATAATGCTTCCGGCAAGATACTTCAGCTTCTGTAAGCCTTGATTTCCTCATCTGTAAAGTGTGTGTGTGTGTGAGAGAGAGAGAAACCTGCTCACAGGCTGCTGTGAGGATGAAGGAATCTAACCTACATAGAGCATGTGATGTGGACCTGGCACAGAGCATGCTCAGTGAGTGGTGGCTACGATCACTGTGCTGGGTCCTGACTCTTGCTATGTGACACGGGCCAAGTCACTCCCTCCCTCTCGAGGCCTCAGTTTTTCCGTCTACACAGGAAGGCAGCTGGGCTAAAATGGTCTTTTAGGAGTCCTGTGGAATTCCAAAGGCCTCCACCAGGTTAATAAATGGCATCTGATTGAGGTTCTAGAGGAGACCGTTGCCCCCGTGGCCCAAAAGCTGCTAGGATGGGAATGTGTGCAGAATCCTGGTGAGGGGCAGATGCCCACTAGTGGAACTGGCACCCACCCGCTACCACCACTCACTCAGGTACCTTTCTCGTTGACCTCTGCCGTCCAGTAGATGTCTGAGTCGTCTGTGAGCTGGGCCTGGAAAGGGGAGGTGTGGGGGGACAGGTCCTTGTCCGTGATGTTCAGCACCTGGGACTCAGGGCTTTGGTTGCAGATGGTGATCTCACGGGGCTCAGGGACTGGGCCATGGTCGTTGACATCAATCAGTGTTAGCAGGAGTGTTCCCGTGCCAGTGGTGGGAGGGCTTCCTGTTTATAAAGACACATATGATGAGCTCCCTGTGACCCACCCAGTCAGCCTCAAGGGGGTTCCTGTTTACCGCCCAGCTCTTGCCTCTTAAGACCTTCCATGCCCTTGCTTCCAATACATGGCACACACATGCCAATCAGGCCATCATTCTCATTTCGGTAAACAGCAGACATTACTAACTATCACGACACAGTTGCAGCCACTTCATCCAGACAGCCACTATAACCACAAAGCGAATCCTACTGGCTACCTCAGGGTTACTCCAGTGTTTGGTCCATCAGTTTCAGGGAAGCCTCCCTTCACAGCCCCGCTGCAGCCTCTCACCTGCCTGCAGGTCCTGGTTCAACACATGTCAACCAGAGGTGACAACTACGTCATAACCCCCCATCTGTCATGGTGTGGCATCACTGATCTGTCATGGCACTTTCCAGTCAGCCCCTAGTAATCAATCACAAGGGAAAACTGACAGGCCAATTCAGGACCCAGTGAACATAAACTAAGGCTGAAGGGACTCTCCTAATGCTGATGTTTTATTTACTTGAGAGTCTTGCTCTGTTGCCCAGGATGGAGTGCAGTGGCACAATTTCGGCTCACTGCAACCTCTGCCTCCTGGGTTCAGGTGATTCTCATGCCTCAGCCTCCTGAGTAGCTAGGACTACAAGTGTGTGTCACCACGCCCAGCTAATTTTTTTTTTTTGTCATTAGTTATTAATTTATTATAAAAGAGAAATACGGAAATTATTTACACAATGAAAAGATTTCAGAACTTCAGTGGAATGGGCAGCTTCACGTTGATGCCATTTCAATAGTGAATTATTTCAGTCTATGTACTTTCCAAGAATGTCACCATCTCTAAATAGGAAATAATCCTTGTCATCTAGAACTACTTTGGTGCCTCCATATTCTGGGAGAAGAACTTTATCTCCAACTTT